AGGAGAAATATTATATGGTTTTATAAAGAAACCCTGATCCTGGTGATGAAAATGCTGGTAAATCGAATAGTTCGACATTGGTAAAATTTAAAAAAAATGCATTTATGAAAACAAAGCATTCAAATCGCAGTATTTATTTTAGGATGGCAGAAAAAACCCAAATTAAAGGATGATTGGATGGAACATCCAAATTTAAAAACAAGGCGCACAAAAAAATCAACCATATTTTCTGGGCTGACTTTTTAGCTCATTCGCACAAAAAAAAACATCAAATTGCGACCAGTTCTTAGTATAATAGAACTGGTCGCAGCTTGATAACACAAACGAATATCGTTTCCTTCCGTGTAAAAGCAGACTTAGGTGTACCGTGTAAAAGCAGACTTAGGTGTACCGTGTAAAAGCAGACTTAGGTGTACTCCATATACCATAAATGGGCCAGTATGGTCGTTTTCGTATCTTTATGTGATACAAGGCGGATCTGCAGCGTCTGCGGCCATGTTTTTCGCAGTGTTAACAAGAGTCGTATCTATATTTGGTCTTGTCTTACAGGATTCATATTAACAAGATTACTATTGTTCGAAATCTCATCAATAGAGTTAGGGGAACATTTATTTGTAAAGGGATTCTCCTCATCAGTCTTGAACAATTTATTTTCTCTGATGTTGGATGCAGAGCTGCCAGATTAGACGCTTTATCGTAATTTTGAAGATTTTTTGGTCAAAAATTTAAAAATGACGATTTTTGCCCAAAAAATACGATTTTTGGTCATTTTACAAATATGGCAATATTTGGGTTCTTTTTGTTATGGCAACATTAAAAATGTATAAAGCGAAAGAAAAAGTAAAAAGAAGATGAATATTAGGCACATGTGTGTTTGTGTATGAGGTTACGTTTACCCAGATAGATGAAAAAATAACAATCAGCTGTGCCGTTCTCTGGGTAGACAGCAACAAAACAAATAAAAGTTAACGGTTGTGAAGGCTATAGCTGATAGCAGGAGAAATATTATATGGTTTTATAAAGAAACCCTGATCCTGGTGATGAAAATGCTGGTAAATCGAATAGTTCGACATTGGTAAAATTAAAAAAAATGCATTTATGAGAACAAAGCATTCAAATCGCAGTATTTACTTTAGGATGGCAGAAAAAAGCCCAAATTAAAGGATGATTGGATGGAACATCCAAATTTAAAAACAAGGCGCACAAAAAAATCAACCATATTTTCTGGGCTGACTTTTTAGCTCATTCGCACAAAAAAAACATCAAATTGCGACCAGTTCTTAGTATAATAGAACTGGTCGCAGCTTGATAACACAAACGAATATCGTTTCCTTCCTTTTTGATAACATATAACGCGACGGATGGCTCAACGCGAGCATTCAGCTTAGTCCTTAAATCAGAAAAAAATGAAGGCAGAAGGCTAGTTGCTAACCACATGACTCCGATATCGCTAAAAATATGACACTTGGACGGACCAAAGCTACTTCGATTATAAAAATGTATGAACCCTTAATTTGCTTTTCATTTACGGCCAATGCCGACAAAATTGATACTGCTAAAATAATATATTGGAAAACTGATACTAATGAGATTTACTTGTCATTTTTAAAATGTATTCTAACAATTATTAATAATATAAACAAAATGTTTCAAAGTGAAACAACGGAAATACATAATCTATATTTTCAAATGGAAATACTTTTTAAGACTGTAATAAGTAATTTTGCAAAACATGAATTTTCAAAGACTGATTGATTTTAATAATGGAAGCAATTTCTTAGACAATAATCAAATATAGGCATACATGCAAAGGAATTGTTAACAAAAACAAAACTTAATTCAAGTGAAATGAATAAAATATATAATAACTGTATAAATTTGTATATTGAACTTTGTAATTGTGATTTTGATAACATTTGTGAAAATGATGAAACGGATTTATTTTGTTTTTGGAATGCAATATTTGATTTGAAACGTGGTGATGGTTCATATATTTTTCCTATAATAACTAAATTTGTACGGAAGATAATGGCATTACCCCATTCCTCAGCTAATGTTTAACGTGTTTTCAGCCAAGTAAATCTTAATACAGTATTTTTCGGTTAATTGACCTTGCGGTTAATTGGTTTTCACGCTTAATTGAACCACATGATGGGTCAAAAAAATATTGCATACGAAAACACATGTAAACTTCCTCGGATAATTAATCCCTGTTAATTGATTTTTCCCATTTAATTGGTTCAAAATTCATGTCATGAAAAATAAATTTCCTCTTATTTTTCACCGTTTTTATAGACCCATGGTTCCTTTTGAGAATATGCATTGAAACACTTTCTGAGTAGATTTATGCATGTCCAGACGGACAGACGTCTGTTGATTTTAAATTGTAAACATGTCGCATTTATAATCCGGCCCAAGGACGAACCCTTTTCAAATTGAGAAAAATCGGTTCAAATTACATATAGCTCCCATATATATTTTCGTCCGATTTTATGTAAATGATGCACCGAATTATATATATATTTACAAAATTTGGCATAACATTTTGATTTATGACTAGGATAGTCTGTGCTGAATTTTGCGAAAATGGGTTCAGATTTAGATATGCGTGATTTCAGTAATTGAACAAACAGCTCAATTAAGAGGGTATAATTGGTTTTTGGTTAATTGAACAAAAAATTGTGCAAATTTTGAGGTGCAATTAACCGCAATATACTGTACAACGAAAAGTCGCAATTCCCTCAATAAGGATTCAATGGAGGGTATACTTTATACGAAAGATTACTTGAAAGTTAACAAAGCAAATTGTTATGATTCATTTATTAATTAAAACCGACATGTTGAAAATCATTAACTCAAAATGAATTATTATATTAAAGTCGAAATGACTATTCAAATATTTATTTATAAAATAAATGAATTTCTTGATTAGCTTTAAGTACAAACGTGTTTAATAAATTGAATACCTCATTTATGTTCCTTTTAATAAAAAATATATTTAAATATAGCTAAATGTGCGTATTTAAATTTTTTAAGATTTTATAAAATTGGTTTGACGATTTTCCAAAAAAAAAAAAAACAAAATCTGGCAGCCCTGGCTAGATGAACGCTCACTGCTACTTCCAGTTTGGGGAGAACCAACAGGGTCTCTTGGATCACCGGCCATCTTATTTTATTTAGTTTTCATCATAATCATTTTATTTAGTTTTCATTTCGTGTTCGAAAAAACAGAAATGTTCTAGAATTTGAAAGAGTTTCAATAGATAACGGCAAAAATGCATTCTTGTTGTGTTTGACATTTTTTCCACTCTGTGTCGATACGATGTTTTCATTTCGGCTGACAACATGGGAATATTTTTTTTATTTAACTCCTCCTTCAACTAATCCCCTTTCTATTTAAAACAGAGGGTATAGGACCATGCACCCGTATGTAGGCACCGTCTAAAAATGTCTATAAATCCTTCTGGCTGGCTGTTGTAAAAACGAAATCTTCTTAAAAACAATTTTCGCTCTGATTTGTATTCGATGATAAACTACATATAATTTCGTCCAGTTCGGTAGATAAAGCACGTGACAAGTTAAGCGAAAGCTTAACACAGCGCCATTTTGTATTTTTTTAATCCCGTATGCGTAATTAACTCCTTAAAATGCGTCCTTTTTGCGAGCCGCCCGAAGACGAACTGAAGGTAATGATTTTAAAACCTTTTTTATCTCTTTCAAAACTGGAGGCAGTTCCTCCTCCCGCTAGTACACTTTCTATTAGAATAGAAGGTATAAGACCATAAACCATATGTACGAGATAAACGAGATTTTCTTATATTTTTCGTTTAGTTCGATAATAAAACACGTGACAAGTTAAGCGAAAGCTTAAAACAACGCCATTTTGTACTTCTTTAAGCCCGAGGGCGTGATTATGGTGTTTTTACACGATATGTATTTTACATATGTGCTGTCACTTTTTTGCATATGGAAATCGAACTCGTCATGTGAAACATACGGAAATTTCAATGTGTCAAAACGATATGCAATTACATATGTATTTTTTCCGAATAGGACGCGCTCTATTTTCGTATGTGAAACATAAGGAAATCAATTACAAATTATTATTTCGTTTGTAGGTGTTTAATAAAAAAATGATGTCGATTTAACAAAAAATAAAATTGTTTTTTTGTTTATAGGTTATGTCATATGTAAAATACATATGCCGATTTGAACACAAAAATAAATGTTTTGTGTACGCCGCTAATTTTGACACACATAAGGAATTACATATGGATGAAAAAAGTGACAGCACATATGTAAAATACATATCGTGTAAAAACACCATTACCTCTATAAATGCGTCTTTATTGTGAGCCGTCCGAAGACGAACTGAATTTAAAACCTTATTTGAAAATTCCGTTGTCCGATATCTATAATTAACATATCGATAACACATCCCCATCAATTGCATGTCATCATTTCACAGTAAACACTCCAAGTGGAAGAAGAAGAAGCTGTTGTTTACATTCTCCTTTTTTCCATACAAGACGTACTAAACGTCTTTAATTTTATTCTCCCTTCCAAAGCAGAATGGCATCCACACTGGAACAGTACATCAATCACACAGTGTCCATAATAACGGCAGATGGTCGTAACTTTATTGGTACATTGAAGGGATTTGATCAAACCATCAACATCATACTGGACGAATCACATGAGCGGGTCTTCTCAACAACATCCGGCATAGAACAAATCGTCTTGGGTTTGCACATCATACGAGGTGACAACATTGCCGTAATTGGACAGATAGATGAAACAATTGACTCACGCTTGGATTTTGCCAATATTCGAGGAGAACCATTGGGTCCAGTTGTCCATTGATATGTTAATAGAAACATACCTATTGATTCTTTGCCTACTAGTCTAGTTGATAAACATGAAATGAAATAAAATAATACACATTACGTTTAAGTAAAACAATGGTGGCTTTTTATTTTTCTCTTCCTCACCCTCTTCCCTCACTCATTACAATCAAAAGAAACTTCATGACACTCTAGGTTTTCCAAATTTACCACAGCTATACTTTGGGTCTTGGCAAATCTCGGTACACAAACCAAACGTGTTTTCTGACCCTGTGTACCCTCGTAGAGTTGTGTGGAGAACTCATCACAATTGCCAACAAAATAGACATGGGGACATTCTTTAATTACGAAGGGATCACAATCCAAATAGGGATAACATGCCAATGTGTCGGGTGCAGTGGGTGCCAAGTGGCCCCATTTCAGTGTACAACGCAGCGCATCCAATGGTTTTTCCAGACCAGTATTCCTTAACATATCATTTACGTTTTGTCCAGCCGTACCCATAACCAAGGCATCATCCACGGAGCAGACGTAGGGGTTTGGAACACTTTGGAAATTCTCATGTTTGGCGGCTCGGGGAAACATGCAGCTGTGAAATGGTTGTTGAGGCATCATAAAATTTGCCGGGTCATATTGACCGGGCATAACATCAATATTTACGGAGCTAGACCAGGCAGCAAACCATTCATCCAACGCCTGCATGGCATCGACAACGTCTTTGGATTCATTAGGGCGAGCTTGTAATGAGGGCAGGCGTTTCTCTTCAGAACTTTTCACCGAATTGCCAGCAATTATAACACGCATCTTTTTCGATTCTCCTGCCTTGAGGATACTACCCCTCAACCAATATTGAAATAGATTGAGGGAATCAACGAAATTGTGTGAATTAACTTGATCCAAACCGGATAATAAAATTAGCAATCGATCTTCTCCCTTCTTTGGCAGGGGTCTCTGTATACCACCTTCATAGAAGAGAATTTCCTGAACATCAAAGCGTCCATCTTCTTCAATTAAACCCATTACAGCACACACAATGCCCGTGGCCATTTCTTCGCTACGAACCTTGCCATGGAGGCGCACCCGTTGCAGTTCATCTTCCAATATCACCTTATCCTCAGGATCGGAATAATGTTGTCTGGCCGGCTGCGGTGCCAATTGATTCTCCTCGGATATCTCCTTGAGGATGCTCGGTTTGTGTTCCTGATGTTTGTAAATTGTACCAATTAGAATGCATTCCTCCTCATTCTCTTCACGTAAATCGCATAGCTTCTTAATGGGCACCGTCTTACCCCAATGTTCTTCGGCCCGTTTGGTCAGCAATGCTGTCATTTCAGTCAATCGATGCGAGTACAAATGAAAGAATTGTCTTTGGTAATCGAAAGATTTGACCAAGAATTTTTGTGAAAGATTTTCATATTTATGTGTGGCCATTTTGTGGTGGTCGTTGTAGATTCAGGAGAAATCTATCCGGGATTCTGTATGGAATTGGTTTTGTTTATGTTTTTTTTAAACCGCCAAGATTTTCGCAATAAATTTTGTTTATAGGGAGGTTCACATGGTGTGGCAAATTCATAGTGTGTTATCGATATACAGTTGGGTCTCGATTTTGTTTAAATTTCGTGATAAGGGGCATTTTATCGTTTACATTTTTTAAGGGTCCTTTTCAGAACCTGCAGAAGTTTATAAATTATTTCATTTTTTAATTGTTTCCTTTATACATATATACGTTCTATAATTACAGTCCGTTGATTTCATTTATAAACTTAGAGATTGATTCAGAATCGAATTAGGAAAGGAGGTCTAAAACTTTTCAAATTTAATAAGTGGAAATTCGAAAACAATTTAGGCCATGACTGCTGACAGCTACCCAAGACATTAAATACGCTACGTCAATAACAGCCATGATATAAAAACTAGTTTTGAAAATCCGGCTCGATCCCTTAACTTACTTAGCTGGCTTGAGACAGAACATTTGTTCCATAATCCGAGCTTAAAAAAGAAGTATAGGCGCGTCGGTCTTGTGCGCAGCTCTTCCAATTTGAAAAACCATGTTTGGAGATGGTGATCTTTCCATCGAATTCATAGCCTTCTTCTTCGACCTGGCTCACTTTTCTATGCCATTTAAGTTGGGGCAGCCTCATTCATTCTCTCAACATGACCTAGCTACCCTAGTCGCTGCAGATCGACACGTTTGGGTATGTTTATGTTCGAGAATATATGATAAAACTCATTCGACGATGATATTCACCATCGACGCTGATGGACCAGTAGATCTTTCGGAGAATCTTTCTCTCAAATACTCCAAAAGCTGTAGAGTTTTATTTATTTATTTTTTTTAATTGGTTACTCAGACCATGGTAGCATCTGTTTACCAACACTATTCTTCTCCGGATTTCAAAGCTTTGTTTTGTTCATGGCGGTACCGAGGTATATAAAATCGTTCACTACCTCGAAACTGTAGTTTTCAAGTTTCACAGTTAGTCCGTCGGTCCCTTAACATAGAGCGGAAATGTGGAACATGTATATAGGGCTTAGTTAATTTTTGCCGAAGAAATTTGTTTCCTCAGCAAGACGCAGGAATGTGAAATTGCAACCACTTCGGTTGAAAAATGAGCCTATGATCGTTAAAATATCTGAAATGGCTCGTTTCGTTTATATGGGGTCTGTATCAAAATATACACTTATATTTTCCATATATTACTAATGTATTTTCCGATGAATTTTTTAAGGTTCCACGAACGCATCTTTTAACAATATTTGCCCACTGTACTTCAATGGAAACATAACGTAACATGTGAACTCCTCTTAATATTTCGATAACAGTCATGTACTAGAGATGGTAATTGAACCTATTACCAAATAACTTATTTATCCATAACTTACTTCCACATCTGTTCCATTGTAACATACATTACTGATTCCAATTAATAAAACAATCAGAAGGAAATACCTTAAAAATCCCAATAAAGGTATATGAAAAATGGCAAATGTCAGTGAACGCATTGATAAATTAAAAGAAGAAGCAGCTGGGTTACGACAAGAGGTGAAAGAACTGAAAGGTAAGCACTTACGAATGGAATGAGTCAAATTGTTTTCACTAACATCCAAACACACAAAAACACAGTTTTTTTGTGTATTTTCTTTCATATCATTTTATAATGTTTAATTTTATTATAACAGACACTTTACAACAACAAAATCAACTGATTATTAATCTGCTTACCAAACAGAATCAGTTACTGGAAAGAGCAAATACAACACCCGCACTAATCCAAAACAATGTATCCGATGTAATATATGGAGGAAATATATCGGTAACAATACGACGTTTTCCATTGCCAAGTTTAGAGAGTTTGGCAAAATTTGAATCGGAACTCAATGATGATAATATGCAACAGAATGTAAGATAGATGAATTCGATTTTTTCTTATAATACCTTAATTAATTTAAATTATTGCAATGTTTTTGTTTTGTTTTGCAGATCAATATAGTGCAACATCTTCTGTCGCCGCATGGTCTAGTCAAGAATATTGTAAATGTTATATCGGATAAAATTATTATGGAGGTTAATGTGGATGGTCATCACAATAAAAAGCGACTATTAGATTATGCAAAATTTATAGATCTTATGTATAGTAAGTAATTGATTTAAATATCTTTACACATATTTGGCCTGTTCCGTACTGCAAGAATCTACTATTTTTTACTTCGATAACACTTTTTTCCTTTATGATATCGAAAAAAAAAATAGTAAAAACTCGTAGATTCTTACAGTACGGGAACAGTCCTAATAGGACTGTTATATATATTTTGTTTTTGTTTGCCACAGGTGCCTGCTTCAAGGAAGGCTATTCAAAAAAACATTTTCTAAACGATCTCAGACGTGCATTACGGATTATAAAAAATCGTTGCCACAAAAATAATTGTATTGCCCGCCAAAAGTTACGTGAATGCAATGCGGTGTCGGAAATCCCCTTAGATATTGTGAAATCCGAAGAGGATGTAGATTTTGAGTAGAAAATTTATCATTTGTTTTTTTTTACATTACATTTTTATGCCATTTGCGGGTCAAATGTGATAAATTCCAAACGATTTGAAATTTTTGGTGTTCATTCTCATTAATAGAGGATTTTCGATGGGTTCCACTGAATTTACACGTTTTTAATTTTATCTGTAATAATAATATACATTTTTTGGACTAACTAGCTTAAGACTTTATATTTCATAAGTTTGAAATATTTAATATAAGTACGACTTTTTCATTGTTAATAACAAAAAAAAAATTAATGAACAGCAAATACACATGTTAAAATTTTACTTATTTCCTCTTTTGGTATTTTGAAGCTTTTGGCGCCGTTTTTAACAGAATGGTTTTTAATTTGATATTAAGGATTATCATTGAACAAAAAATCTGCCAAAAAAAATATCAATATTTACCCAAGTTTCCGGGCTACCCAAATAAGTGGGTGGTTTTGGGCACATTTTTTAACCGAATGGGGCTCTAACTGATTTTTCTGATTCTCATGAGGTGTCAAATCTTCCTACCAAAAATTATCAATACCGGTCCACGTTTTGGTATAGCTCTCATATAACAGTACCAACCTATTTTCGATATTTTTATGGCTTTAGCCGAATTTTCTCTCCGATATTATTGTAATATGTTAAAAAGGATTCTTAGAAGTGGTACATATTGTTTTAGGATAGTCTTGAATTTTTGTTTGCGGATTTAAAAAGATGCTCGACCATCTGCGAAGCCTTAGCCAAACGGAGAGAGATAGACCCATTTCTTAACTTCTGGAATTTGGTTGGGCACCAAGCAATTATCTTTTTCTTGCATTGCAAAATTTCTTTAATGATAAAAAATTGGTATCTAGGGAGGATTGTGAATGTGAGTTTTTTGCAAATCGACAGCAGGACTTCTATCAGAGATGCATAATGAATTTAACTTTAAAATGACAACAAATCATACAACAAAACGGTGGATATTTGGCCCAAATCGGACATTCCGAAGCATGTTAAATAAACTCCTATTGTTCATATAAAAATAATGGATTTCTTTTTCCCCAACCTAATAACAGCATTTTTTATTTTGGATACATACGGAAACTGTATTCAAATCTGGACCATTTTTAATTTTTCTGAAGCGATTTCAACGAAAATCAAAATACACAATTCAAGTCTAATTTTAATAAAATCATAGGGTCTTTGGTGCAAAATTTACTTAAAATCGGCTGAAAATATATAATTAACACACTCTATCCTAGACTCAATTTAGTATGATGTCCAAAATTTCGTCTCAATCGGGCAAACGTAGGGTGTTGATCGGACGAAAATATATATGGAAGCTACGTCTAAATCTCAAAAAATTTCTCCAAAATTTGACACACGTTATTCTAGCCTCTATACGGTGTGCTATTGTAAATTTTGTATCAATCGGAGAAATCTTGGAAATTTGGTGTGGAGCTATATCTGAATCTGAACCGATTTCTCCAAAATTTTACATACGTTATTTTAGCCTCAATTCAATACGATATACAAAATTGCAATCAGACAACACAATCCTTGGGAAGTTGGTGCATCACTTACATAAAATCGGAGTAAAATATATATGCGAGCTATATCTATATCAGATCCGATTTCAATGAAACTTAACACACTATCCTAGGCTAAATTTCATATGTTATGCCAATTTTTTCCCCAAAAGGACAAATCGTGGGGTTTGGTACACCATTTACATTAAATCGGACGAAAATATATATGGGAGATATATTTAAATCTGAAATAACGGTAAAGTTAAAATACAAAATTTTCATGTAAAATATAAAATTTATGTGTCGGTAGGGCTTAACGGCTATGTAGGTGATGGCCCTTAACTTACCGAATTTGTTTGCTATTTGGCGAAATTTAAATAAATGAAAATTTATTGTTATCCACAATGGTCGGTAATTCTGTCGTCGTGAAACATTTACAAAATATAACACCGAGTTGAAAACAATTGGTCTGTTCCCGTACTGCAAGAATCGACCACTTTTTACTACGATAACGAATTTTCCTTTATGATATCGAAGAAAATAGTAAAATCTGGTAGATTCTTGGAGTACGGGAACAGGCCAAATTTGATATAAAAATAAAAATTCGTAATAAATTTGTCATCTTTTTTTATTTCAAAAATAACAAAGAAAACAACAATTGCTTTGTTGCAAAATTTTTCAATTTTTTTACAAATTTTTCTTCGAAAAATATACAATTTTGTTTTTGTATATGAACACATATAGTTGCTATTATTAATCACCAATAATATAGGTATCATCAGATTTAATTAACGATTGCACTTGTGAATTGGATTGACTTTCATCATCATCATCCATTTCTTCATCATAAACGTCATCGTCAATTTCACGTTTACGTTTACCCATCAGCTTGTAATTGCG